CTCAATAAAAAAAGGGGGAGCTTTAATATTTTCCAAATGTCTCTTTTTCATGAATGTTTTATTAAGGAAGAGTTTTGCCAAAAACAATTTTTCAAATGTTTTGTTATACCAAAAAGGCGGAGATTGTTGAACCATGTTTTATAATATTTTGATATAACAAATTAAGGCAAAATGTTTTTGGACTTGATTGAATTTGTTCAAAGTTTGCAAATATAATTCAAAGTCCATTAAACTAGAATTTGAGCACAAAATATTTTTTATGGGTACGTAGTACCGACACTGTTCTTACAGTATCGATACTGCATGAACAGTATCGATATTGTTCACTTGGTACCAATACCAAAGGTAAGGGAAGTATCGATACTACCAGTTGTTTTTCAACTTGCTCAAATTCCAGAATGCAAAATAGGTATCAATACCCAAAGGGATACCGATACTACTTTACATAGTAGTATTTATACCATGAGCATAATATCGATATTGATCAGGTCCAATGGCTAGTAACAGCTAGTTTATTTAAATATTATAAAGGTAGTACCAATACTCATTAAAGGAGAATCGATCCTCCCTGTCCTAGGCAGTTTTATTTTGCAGAAAAATGATCTCCAACAACTCCAAAACATCTCCAATGGCTAGAAACGACCACAAGCTCATTCCAACTTATAAAAACAAGTTTATGACACTTGAAGAATGGTTAGAACACCTATCCAAGCATTCATACACAAGAGAAATTTTTTTCAATTTTTCTTTTTCTTTCTCTTGTAAATATTTGTGTTTGAGCTTAATTGTATATCCTAAGATGTTTTTTGTGAGCTTAAATCTTGTAAACACCCTACCTTAGAGAGGTTTTCTTGTTTACATTTCTTTCCTTTGTGAAAAAGGGATTGGTTCTAGCTAAGCCATTGAAAATATAGGAAGTGTAAAGGTTATCTCTTTATCATGTGAAAAAGAAAGAACAAATTAGTGAATTTCTTAGAAAATCCTTACTGAGGAGCTAAGGTAGTGGATGTAGACTTGGTTGAGAAGTCGAACCACCATAAATCCTTGTGCAAATTGTCTATCTTTTTTTTACTCCTTACTCCCTAAACTCTAAAAACTAATTCACCCCCTCTTGGCAAACCATTCGCTTGTTTAATTGAGATTCACCAAATATCCCAACAGTAATCATCAAAATAATATACAGTTGAGAATTTCTTCTCTTTTCTAAACCTTTATTATCAACAACCAATCATCTTCTAGTTCATATTCTCTAACGGTTTTTGTATTTTCTCCTTTTATTTCTTTGATGAATGCTTCTTCGGCATCTTGAGACAGATTTTCCTTTTACCTTCCTACAATTTGAAGCAAACATCGACGATGAATCCTAAGGTGAAACATCGACAGTGGATCCTGAAGTGAAAGATGAAAAAGGTTTGACACCATTAGCTTTAGCTAAAGAGATTTTGAAGGTGACCCCAAAAGAGAACATGATACACCATATGAGAAGGTTAGGGCTTGAAGGTGTAATAAAGGTGTTAGAATATGTGATATATGAGTATGCAGAGGTGGAGGGGATATATGAAAAGAGAGAGAAATGTGAAAAATTTTAATATTTGGTGAAATGGAAAGACTATAGCAATAACCAGTGGAGGTTGGGGAAAGGAAAAGTGTTTGGGTTGGGGAAAGGAAGATGGTGGAGGTAGGGAAGAGAAGGGTATTTTTGACATATTAATTATTTTATTTTTAAATTGATTTTTATTAATTCAAATACAAAAATTAAATTAAAATGGTGATGTGATATGTTTTAATTGGTTACCGATTTTTTTAACGGAGTTAACGTTTTGATTCAAATGAGGTAACAATATAAACTTTAAGTGACAAAATGTCTCGTAATTTTTTTTAACTCGGTATAAATTGTATATTTTATGAGGCAATAGTATATTTAAGCCTATAGTGTTTTTATTTAAAAAAAATATGTTTATATTAATTGCATTGGAAAGTATGCTTGCATTAATTGTATTAAAAAACACATAAAATGATTATACCATGGGAGAAAATATTGGAGGAAATACTTCAACAAAACACCAAAATCGGGGTTGTTCTACTTTACGACTGCCTAATTTAAAGCTAAGGAAAGACACAACTGGAAATATTAAATTTTTTAACATTTTCGGTTGAGCTTAACCTAAAATGTTAATCTTTTAACATTTTTGCAACCTAAAATGTTAATTTTTTAACATTTCCAATAGCAACCGGAAATGTTATCTTCTTCATAACATTTTCGATTACAACCCGAAATGTTAAAAAATTAACATTTTAGGTTGCTCGGAAATGTTACAAAAATTTAACATTTTCGGTTGCACCTTTCCTTAGCCTTAAATTAGGCTGCATTTCCTTAGACATTCCCTCAAAACTGTATTAAGATATCTTGATAATTTTGTCTATTTTGGATAGCTTTGAGAAGAAGGAAAAAAACAATGTTTGTTTAATTGCATCCTAATTAAGATAAATATAAATTTTAGTTTTAAGATGTAACATCAATACATGTCTAAATTTTTTTCAATTAGGTAAACTATGCCTCAAGGTATAATTTAGTGCCTTAACTATTTTTCTTTGTCTAATTAAATTCCTAAATTTAGTTTTATGATTCAAATAAATTATTTATTATAAATATCAGTTTAGATCAAAAAGTGACGTTTATATAAAATTTTAAACCAATAAATCCAATTGAGATATCTAATTTGACAACAACAAAAAAACTTTAGGTGCCAAGTTTTTTTTTTTTTTTTGATTAATTAGGTGCCAAGTTAAAGCTTAAATCAACTTCTTTTTGTGATTAATCTGAAATAAGTACAAGATGGTATATGTTCAATGATAACTCTCAAACATTTGACATTGAATGTTCATATCCTTGGCATTCATGGTACTCGAACCCAAAACCTTAAGTAATAATAACAATTCATTTATCATTGAGATTGCTTGGTTCGTACCTTAAAATCAACTTCAAGTACCTAATTTGACAAAAAAATTATATACCAAATTACATCTTAAAACTAATTACATGTACTAAAATATATATATTTACCCTTTACTTTATGCCCTGGCCGGCTGAGTTTTGGGTATCGGTGCAAGTTCTATTGGAATTTGTTCAACTCTCCCTTTTCTTTTCTTTTTTCCCTCTCTGTCAAGGAGGCACGATTTGAGACTCGAAATTAAGGGTCTCGTTTTTACAAGAACCACCACTTCCCACCAAATAAACAAAGGCCAAATTGCACCCAAGGTCATTTAATTATGGATTTAATAATAAATATGTCAGTTTTCTCTAAAAATTAAAAAATATCATCTAATTAAAATATAATTACAAATAGGTCACTCCATGTTAAAATTAAAATAGGCAGTTAATATAGCCCGATATAATACAATATTTCTTGAATAAGAACAAAAACTGGATACGAAATATTAAATTTATTGAATTGATTCAAATTATGACCAAATTAATAGACTATATAAATTTTGAGGACAAACTATTATTATATCAGACCACATCATTATTTATACCTAATAATTAACTATCAATGGCTTGTTTGTAATAACATTTTATTTTTTTAATAATAAGAGATAATGGGAGGACGTAATAGTATTTTAATTAAATGATATGGCTGTTACTGTTAGAAGAAAACCGATATGTTTGTTAGTAAACCTATAATGAAGTGACCTTGGTTGTAATTTATCCATAAATAGAAGTTAGTGGATCTAGATCCCTCCCTAACTCCCTAACTCACTTTAGTGGTGTTGTTAACTGTAAATTAAACAACCATTTTTTTCCTACTGCTCTCCCCTTGTAATAAATGGCACCCACGTGCTATTATTATTTTTTTAGCTCCTCTAGGATTGTGACTTAAAAAAAACTAAAACAACTAGGGTTTAGGGGAAAAGTAAACAAATTTAAAAATTATTGAAATACTGATATAGCATTTTCAAACTATTCTCATTAATCGATTGAAGTCGATATTCATACACGAACATCTTCGTCACTATGTTCAATAGTCTCAATCTTGAAGTCAAATCTCTGTACAAGAAGTCTTTTATGGACTTTGTACAAAGTAGTTGAGTTAGATAAGGACTTAACTACTAATTTACACGCAAATACCTTACATTAACACCCACTAGTGTCTCTAACTAGCCTGTATCCCTTAAACACGAGCTCGTGGTCAACTAATACACATATATAAGACATCACATAGATAAGATCTCTGATAAATTCAAGTGATGCGTCCGAATGAAATCACAAGTCTAATTACTATATTTACTTAGTATATCGGCTTATAAATAATCATAATTACCTTAAACACGGATGTCACTTTAAACACCTCCAATCAAGACTAGTAAGAGGGTTGGCACATTTTACCACCATCTTTTTTTCTTCTTCTTTAAGACCAATCCTTTCCTTCACTCAAATATCAACCGCGACTCTCCCCCAAACCAGAAGTATGAACCAGTCACGGCTGACGACACCCTTTTGGTCCATCAACGAATCAATTAATGATGATTTCCATTAATGGAATGAATTACTTATTTTTTTATATTTATAAAGGCTCAACTGAATGAACTCAATTTTTTTAAATTTTTCATAGAGGTTTTTCAATCTTCCTACCTTATTTAAAAAATAATAATTTACATTTAAAAGAAAAAGGTATACTAGATGTTAGATTCTTTGTTATAGTGACTAGAAATTAAACCTAATCAACCTCAACTATAATTTTTTTAAAAGAAAAATAAACTACTTAAAAGGGTATTTAGATGCTCAAACTCAACATACTTCCAAACCTAAAATGAAAGCTGTTAGAATTCTTTATATCTTGTCATTACTCCATTTCTAACTAAAGCCATGTTAGTGAGTCGTCAGACCAACTTTATTTTACTAAAGTAAAACCCATCAACAAAGCTTAAACAAAAAGATTCGGTGAAAAGCTTATATATTCCCCCCAAACACGCCACTCTGTCTTCCCCAGTGTCTAAAACAACAAGACAACATGAAAATCTTCCTTTTCTTCTTGTACTTATCTCTCTCATCTTCCAATGTAAGAAACTAAATTCCCTCTTCTTGTTTGTTTTTCCCTTCTATATTGTCTCTTCTATCTTTCATCTATAGTTTGCTTTCATTCTGTTCTATTTCCAGGTGGTGCAAGTTGTTTGTACAGGTACAGGCCAGGCCAAGGAGAACCCATTTACACCCAAAGCCTCGTTGATTCGTTACTGGAACAACCACATTTCCAACAGTTTTCCGAACCCACCAGTTTTGGTCTCCAAAGCTTCTCCACTCAATGCTGTTGACTTGGCCAAACTCACTAAACTCGCCGACCATAACTCTCTGTCTTCCCACATTGTGGATTTTTGTTCCTTGGCAGATCTTTTCTGTTTGTTCGAGGACTCTTCGATACTAGATGTTGTCGCCAAGGGCAACAAGGATGCGAATTTTGAAGTTTATTCCAGTAAAAGATTTAAGGGTTATGGTACGTCGAGACGTGGAGGAGTCGACTCTTTCAAGAACTACTCCGATGGGCTAAATACTCCCAATGAATCCTTTAAAAAATACAGCGGGGGATCAAACGGACATAGAGAAGAGTTCAATAGCTATGCCAAAGATGCCAACGTCGCTATTGATAACTTCACCAACTACGGCTCCGGCTCCACAGGTGGTTCTGGTGGATTCAACAACTATCAGGAACGAGTCAACGTACCGAACCTCCGGTTCACCAGCTATGACTCGGATGGTAACAACCATAAACTCTCTTTCTCGAGCTACAGCTCCGAGACAAACTCAGGCTCCCAAGCATTCACAAATTATGGGAAGAAGGGGAAGTCAGTTCCGGCTGAGTTCACAAGCTACAGTGGTAATGCCAACACCATCGGGTCGAGTTTTACAGGGTACGGGGTGTTGGGAAACTCGGCAAACGACTCGTTTAAAGCCTATGGTGACTCAGGTAACAATCCCCATAACAACTTCAAAACGTATGGTTTAGCTTCTAAGCTGGGGATTGATAGTTTTACTAGCTACAGAGATTCAGCCAATGTGGGAGACGATTCTTTTCAGTCTTACGCAAGGGATTCGGATTCCGGGAAAGTTAATTTCGCAAATTACGGGAAAACATTTAACGTCGGGAATTCTACATTCAAAGAATATGGTAAAGGATCCACTGGTTCTACCACCATAGGGTTCAAAATCTATGATTTGGCTCGTTCCTTCGTTGATTATGCCAAAAATGGTGTCTCATTTGCTGGTTACTCGAACTCGAGCTCCAAAGAAACAGCCGATGAGGCTAACGGTGGCATTCCTGTAAATAGATGGGTTGAACAAGGTAAATTCTTTAGGGAGTCCGTTTTGAAGCAAGGGAATATCATGGTGATGCCCGATATTGTCGATAAGATGCCCCGAAGGTCATTTTTGCCCCGGGTGATTTCGAGTAAATTACCATTTTCAACCTCCCACTTATCCGAGCTTAAGAAAATATTTGGGACAAGCATGGAACCGGTGCTTGCAAACGCATTGGCGGAATGCGAGAGGCCGGCGAGCCGTGGTGAGACGAAGCGGTGCGTTGGGTCAGCAGAGGACATGATCGACTTCGCCACCTCGGTCTTAGGCCACAAAGTGACGGTCAGAACGACAGAAAACGTGAAGGGGTCAAAGGAAGAGATCATGATCGGAGAAGTCAAAGGGATCAACGGCGGTGCTGTGACGGAATCGGTATCGTGCCATCAGAGTTTGTACCCGTACCTACTGTATTATTGTCACTCGGTGCCCAAGGTTAGGGTTTATGAAGCTGAAATTTTAGATGTTAAAGGTAAATCCAAGATTAATCACGGTGTTGCCATTTGTCATCTTGACACGTCAGCTTGGAGTCCAGGTCATGCTGCCTTCGTGGCACTTGGGTCTAGCCCTGGACGAATTGAAGTCTGCCATTGGATCTTTGAGAATGACATGACTTGGACTATTGTGGATTGATTTGCTTAGGATAAAAAAAAGAAGCTAATTTTGGTCCCACTTAGTTATTTCTTTTCTTTTTTGGTCCAACTACTTTTTATTTCTATTTACCATATTTCCATTGTTTTGTATTGTTATAATTTATCATCAAGTTACGGTGGGGTTTTTTTTTTCAGTGTTCAGTTTATTTAAATTGAATTAATATTATAAATCAACTGAAAAATAATTTAATAAAAGAAACAAAAAGTTAAAAATTTATGTCCATGATTGAAATCATGATAATTACACCCTTGGCATGCACAAGAAAAAAAAAACAAGAATGCAGCTATACCTACTACCTCATCCACTACACTTTCTTTAAAAGCAATCCCAAGAGTGTGGTATTGAGCTCACCTACGATGAATAAAATTAGCTAAGCTATAAAATCATAAATAAATACATTTTGTCATATGATATTGAAGAAACTATTTTCTCATCTAATGTGAATATTATTGTAGTCAATAGAATATATCTAATTCATTTGACGAGTTCAACAAAAAGATGTTCAGATAATTTGATGACTTTTGGAAAATCTATGGAAGACTCGAAGATTTCTCTCGTCAGCACATATGCATGTGAGTAGTGTCTTCCCAAAAGATAATATGCCTTCCAAAAATTGTCAGATAATCTTAATGTTTTCCAAAAATCGACGATTTTTCTCAAAAATCACTTTTTTCTTATATATTTACATGTCAGACACCCTTTCAGATATAGTTTTTAATCTAACAAACTTTACAGAAATGCGCGGCTTATGCACTGCGCCTTATGCTGATGTGGCGCCACGTGGGGTAAGACGCGACCCATGCACAGTGCCTTATGTTGACGTGGCACCACACAGGGTAAGGCACGGTGCATGGGTCGCGCCTTCGGTTTTAATTCGGCCCCCAACCGAGCGTTCACACCCCCCATCCCACCCTATAAATATCTCATTCTAAACTATTTTCATCACACCAAATCCTCTCAAATTCTCTTACTGCTCGTTCAAGTTTTATTTATAAGATATATTTTATTCTATTTAATATTTTGTTAGTATTTTATTTAATTATTTAATTATTTAAATTTTAGTATTTTATTTAAATTATTTATTTTTTTGCAGTAATAAAATGGAAGACGATCTGCTTCGTTTGGATGGAAATCATATATCTAGACATTTTGCTAATACAATAACATTTTTAAATTTTAATTTAATTTAATTTATTAGTAATAATTTATTTATTTATTTTATTATTAGTTTATAAATTAATTTTTGTAATTATTAATAATTTTAGGAGAGCAACCGTATATTAGATCCTTTTATCTGCAACCTTAAGTTAGCGATATCAACCCATGTCTAGCTGTATTTAGTCGAGACTAGATTCGGTTACATAGCTAGATATGAATGCCATTGTAGGATAGAACCAAACCTGATTTCTGCATTAGTCGAGTGGTGGAGACCGGAGACACACACATTCCATCTTCCGTGCAGAGAGTGCACGATCACGCTGGAGGATGTTTCTATGAACTTGGGGCTTCTGGTGGATGGAGATATGTTTTTAGGGATGGCACACGGTAACTAGAATTCTTTGTGCCAAGAATATCTAGGAGGTGTCCCGTGAAATTTTAACGGTGGTCGGATTCCGTTAAATTGGTTGGATTCAAATTTTAGAATTTGAGTGAGGATGCCTCAGAGGATCAAGTTAAAAAGTATGCACGGGCATGCATACTACATCTGATAGAAGGGTTGCTGATGCCGAACAAATCACGAAACCAAGTTCACTGTATGTGGTTGTGGTATCTTAACGATTTTTATCTGGCTGGATCACTGAGTTGGGGCTCGACAGTTTTGGCATTCTTGTATAGGGAGATATGTCGAGCTACTGACTACAAGAAAAATGCTATCAACAAATGTCTCCTTCTACTGCAGTCTTGGGCATGGTATCTCTTGCACTTTTATGTCATGTTGTGAAGAACTCGTTCGTATTCCCGCTATTATTGAGGTAATTACAAAACTGATTTCGTATATTAATCATTTTATCTAGTGTATAATAAAAATTATTTCCTTGAATGTGTGGTCTATTGATAGTAAAAATCATCCGGATCTACCTGATAAATTAGAAATAATCGGACTACAATTGATCAGAAGGTTGGCACAGATGTATGTATTTTAATGTTTGAAAATCTATTTTGTATTATAGTTATATAATTAGATTATTATTTTGATAAGAATTATATATTTGTTTTAGTTTGAATGGGCTCATTATTGTAATGATGATATGAGGATCTGCATCCCACCTGAGTTAAGGGGTCCATTAGATGTTTGGATGCGGTGGTCCCTCTGATCTGTTATGCGATTGTTGAGTGGCACCCCACTGATCGCATGCTCTGTCAATTTGGTTTTGTACAACTAATTTCGGAATCACCTCAAAATATTGACCAATTACATAACACAGATCGACGCGGTAAGACAGATATAGATTGGCTGGTGAAGCATTATGAGTGGGTTATAATATGGGAGGATTGACATCGGCGCATTCCCCATAGAGAACCCATTTATGTTGACCATTTGACGGTTGCAGATGGTTATTATGAGTGGTTTAACAGTAACAAGAAACCGTTCATACTTTCCGAGGATACACGAGGATGGAGTATTCATCAACGTCGACAGAGATGTGCACCGTTACAACCCCATCGTCCCCCGATTCGTGGACGGAGAGCATGTGCTTTCGGTTCATCGTCTGCTGCACCACCAGAACCTTCACAGTAACCACTGTTTTCAACGACATACACCCCACAACTATATCAGATACCTCCACTGTCTTTCCCATACCAGATGCCGCCACCGTCACAGAGTTATATGACCCATTCTGGAGGATATTATGGTTATGTGTTTGCAGATCTAACTTGGGGTTCATATGTTGGTTATTTGGTGGGTGCAGCCTCACCACTGATGGCCACCGTACAGAAACCTCCTATACAGTTTTCGCACTCATCGATGTTTTGTGTTTTCTGAGTTTTTTCACTTTTCTATGAGTGGTGGGATAGTCATTCATACACCTCCAGGGTCTTTATTCTATAGAGGTGTTACATCATCATCAGTTCCTCATCAACAAAATGTATATGCTCATGATGACGATGACGACGAAGACGAAGATGATGATGATGATGATGGTGGTAGTGGTGATGATGATGACAGTGAGGATTCAGAACCAGTTATACGAAAAAAATCCTCCTCGAGATCAGACAACCACCGCCCTGCGAAACACATTCGCACCGTAGACATCAATAGTTTTTTATATTTTATTATATTTGTATTTACTTATTTATTGGACTTTCTTTATTGTAATTTTTTTATTATTTACCATTTAATACTTAATTTATTTTGTTAATTTTGTTTATTACTTAATTCAAGTGAATGGTGATGATCATTTAGTGCTTTTTAATTTTTTTATAATAATAATAGTAAATTTATGTATCAAAAACAATTGTCTTTTTAAAAGTTTGTTGTATTTAAAATTATATTCAAATACCAAATTGTTATTAGTTTGATAAAATTTAATAATTGTGTTCGATAACTTTCTTAAGTTTGTCACTTATTATCTCTTTTATTTTAATCACATATAACGCCAACGTCAAATCCTGTTGTACCAATAAAAATGTGTCATATCTTTGAATGGTTCTTCTTTATCAATGTTGATGGATAATTTGCTCTTTGAATAGTTCTTCTTTATCGTTTTCTTGTATTGCTTTTTTAATTAATCAGTGGTTATCAAATTACATTAACTTTAAGTAAATACGAATTAAATTACAAGAACTATTATTTGATAAACAACAACTACATCAGTTCATCATCAATGGTTACTTGATGACAAAAGAAATGGACATGTTTTTCTAGTGTGTCATGGGTTTCTACAATGCTCACATCTTATGTCTTGTCTAGATGTTTCTCGAATATCCATATCACAATGGATTCGAGTGGATTTTGGCCGACCACGATCCCTCAATAAATTCATATCTAGTATAATCGAAACCCAATTTTGAACCTCATTATGGTCTTTTTCATTACCTATGAAGGGAACTCAAATTCGTATACCTTAAACACTTCTGATAATAGGTATACGGGATCCACAAAATTCAGAGCATGGATACTTCAGAGCTTGAAAAAACCCAAAGGCTCACCATCTGTCCTGTAGATTTAATCTTAACGAGTTAACTTCAATCCCTTGAAGAGGTCGCAGCATCTCTGTGACACGAAACAATTCATGTGTTCTAGAGAAGCTTGTTACAGACATTCCATTTTAATGCATTAATTTTTTTGTATATATGTAACTAATCTAGGGTGATAGACATGATCGTCTTGCATCTATGTTTGAGCTTGTCCCCCGAGCTTCGCAACAAGCGCCCCCAAACGAAAATATGTCATTTTTACCAAAGCCGCTACAGGTAAGTGACGTGCCCCCTTTAAGGTCGAATTGATTACCTCAGCCAAGTTGGTCGTCATGTGTCTATATCGATATCCACCATCATATGCATTTTTCCACATTTCTTTATTGATGAGGCTGATGTAATTGTATCATTCTTCGTTCTTCACCCGTAAATCTTGAAATGTGAATTCAAATGTTTGAGGTAGTAGTTAGTAACCTCAGCATAAAATATAGAACTTACTAACTTTGTTTCTTTAAAAAAAATTAAAATGATCAAAAGATAAAAAAACTACAGTAGTTTCACTTACCCATGCGCACAAGTAATTGGCGCTCATCATTCTTCTTGAACATTCCATGGTAGTTCAAAGCAATGTGTCGGATACAGTACCTATGTTGGACAAAGAGTGGTTGCCACATTGGACCCAAAGACTCCATTGTTGTTTTAATCTCAGCTCCGCGATCTGAAATGACACAGATTTTTCCCTCGTGATAATATATAAACATAAGTTTCGGAGGAAAAAACCCAAGAATATGAATCTTCTCCTTCAACAATGGAAAAAGCAACTTGAAGAATATTGCAATTATCATCTTGGACAACTGTCAATAGTAAAATTTACTTGTATTTTCCATACAATAAGGTCTTATCGA